TGAAGAAATAGGACTGCTGAGGAGATAGAATCACCGATATTAGTACGAACAACTTTAAGTGTTTACTTTTTAGGATTTGAGTAACTGTGTTAAAGAGAAGTAGTCAACAGTATTATGAAGAGATTCATTGTATCCCTTACCCCAAGATAATTGTATTCAACAGTGGAGTTTCACACCTTCGATATTATAAGCATCCAGTTGGTGTTTTATTAATGCATACACATTTGCCACCCTCTAAAACTAGATCATTCTGAGCACACATTATGCTTAATCTTTTAAGATTATAAAAAATTACCATAATTACAATATCTACAGACATTTTCATGTCCTTAAATCAGTTGAAAACTAGAGCTAATGGGCAAAGTAGATGTAGCTACAAACAGCAGAAGCAAATGTTACTCATTGACTTACAAACAGCTGTGTTAAAAAGGAGAGAGGAAAGTATAGTCTCATTTATAGTTTCTGAAATTGAGTTTCCTCTTTACAGGAAAAAGGAATTTAATTTTCAAAAATATTTGAGTTTTATTATGTGGGCAAAAAGCACCTGTTTTATCAAGTTCATTGAATTTTACTTCTTTGATTTACTTGTACTTACTTTTCCATTTGTGGGTAAAATTTATCACTGTTATCACCTTTATACTGAATGAGGCAAAATCTCCAATACTTACTTCAGTAAGACTTTGAATTCCTTGTTATTAACAGTAAAATGTATATGCTTTCCATAATAAAGCCATACTTTATTGCTGGAATTGTCAGTCTTCCCTCTTTCCTCTCCCACATGGATTGTTACTTTAAATTCTGAAATAAAACCAATGAATCCATAAACATAGGCTGTAGGTAATAAGTGTGTTGTCCTGGACCAGCAGCATCAGCATTATCTGGGGACTTGTTAGAAATGCAAATCCACAGGCACTATCCCAGACCTATTGAATAGGAAACTATGGAGATAGAGTCCTGCAATCTGTGTTTTAATAAGCCCTCCTAGGCAACTCTAATGCATGCTAAATTTTGAAAACCACTGGTTTATGGCATTCCAGGATATTCAGGTGCTGTCTTTTCCTGTTTCCTATAGAGAATATCTTTGTTCAGATGTAGGAGTGTGCACACTGTGTGTAAGGGAAAAGGCTGAATCTTTCAGCACATGTTCTGAATAAATCAATTGGCTCATGAGTGTGAGCTATATTATTTAAATATTGATCCATATTGTCCCTAAACCTTACTTTCAATTTACAGATAAGAAGTACTCCTGACCTCTTTTTATTTTGTGGTGTGACTGGCCCACTGATAACTTTCTCTCTTCTTGGACAATTCTTTTTGTTGCCACATGGAAATAGGGGCTCTATCTTAATATATAATCCAATTATGTAAAGGAAACTGGAGGACAGGTAGTATTCCTGATTCTCTTGTGCACATTTGCTATGAATAAGGCCTCACAATAGTTCTTCACATTAACTATCATATTTTATAGCTTTACTATGATATAACTTACACAGCATAAAAGTCACCTATTTTAAATGTTCAATTCCAATCCCCATTCCATCCCCAGCATCAGATGCCACACTCTGCTTTCTTTCTCTCTATATTTATCTTTTCAGGATATTTCATGTAAATGCAGTCAGAGTACTAATATGTGGTCTTTTGTGTCTGGATTCTTTCACTTAACATAATGTTTTTGAAGTTCATCTGTGTAGCTTGTTTCAATCTTTTCTTTTCTTTTTTGGCAGAACAATATATTTGTTTATTTATTTATCTGTTTATGGACATTTGGGATGTTTCCAGTTTGGGGTTCTTATAAATAATGTACACTTATGAATAATGAATACTCGCATGCCACTCTCTATAAGAATACATGTTTTCATTTTTCTTAGGTAGTGGAACTATTGAGACATATGGTAAGTTTATGTTTAACTTTTTTTTTTTTTGTCTTTTTTGTCTTTTTCCGTGTCCGGCAACGGATCGCAACCCTCGGCGTTGCTCTTGCGCCTCGCTCAGCCAGTGAGCGGGAACCGGTCTGTATGTGGGATCCGAACCCTCGGGCGGGAGCGCCGCCGTGCTTCCCAAGCGGCGCACTATCCAGTGCGCCACCGGGCCGGCCCCTATGTTTAACTTTTTAAGAAACTGCCAAACCATTTTCTAGGGTGACTGGAACATTTTACTTTCTCGCCAGCAATGTATATAGGTTACAATTCTTCCACAATCTCTTCAACACTTCTTTTGGTCTATAATTTTATTATAGCCATTCAATGAGTAAGAAATGTTATATCATTATAGATTTAATTTTCATTTTCCTAATGACTAATGATATTAAACATTATTTCATATGCTTATTAGCCATTTCTTTATATCTATTGAAATATTTAGCACATTTTTGAAATGTGCTGTTGGTCATCTTATTACATAGCTCTATGAGTTCTTTATATGTTCTGGGTACATGAATGCTATCAGATATAATTTTTATATTTTCTCCCAGACCGTGTTTTTTGTTTGTTTGTTTGTTGTGTTTGTTTCTTTGTTTTTTCATTTTTTCTAATGATGTCTTTTGAAATGTTAAAGTTTTTAATTTTGGTGAACTCTAATTTGTCCTGAATATTTTCTTATAAATTTTGATTTTGGTGTATCCATGAACTGTTGATTTAACCCCAAATTATGAAGATTTTCACATACATTTTCTCCTAGACATTTTGTAGATTGAACTTTTACATTTAGCTCTGTGATTTGTTAAGTTTCTTTTATATATGATATAACGTATCATTTTATTTGTTTTCTATGTATCTTATGACTTTTTTGTTTTATTGTAATTTTTTTGTGTGTGTTGAGAACACTTGAAATCTACTCTCTTAGCAATTTTCAGAATACAATACATTGCTATTAACTATAGTCACCATGTTGTACAATAGATCTCCTGAACTTATTCCTCCTATGTAACTCAAACTTTGTTCCACATGGCCAACATTCCCCCATCCACCAGCCACTGATAGCCAGCATTCTACTCTCTGCTTCTATGAATTTGACATTTTTAGATTTCATATATAAGTGAGATTATGCAGTATTTGTTTTTCTGTTCCTGGCTTATTTTATGTAACCTAATGTCCTACAGAATCATTCATCTTGTTTTAAATAACAGAATTTCCTTTTTATTTGTTTATTTTTTAAAGGCCGAATTGTATGCCATTGTTGTATGTATAACACATTTTCTTTATCCATTCATCTGTTGATCAGCACTTGGGTGAAATGTCTGTCCCTTATCAACAGCAGCCAGCCCCATCACTAAAGTGCCTCATAATAATCAAATCATCCTTCAAAACCTCACTCAGCTAATACTTTCATTTGAAAACTTTCCTCATACCACTCCCCAAGTATAAAACACATATACCTACCTGTACATTTATCAGTAATTACACTTACTCCAGGAACTATTGTGATTTTAGGGACACTTTGATTCTCTATGAAATTATGAACTTTCTCTGAGTATATTGTCCTCAGCTCTGTGATCTCAGTATCTACCCGAGTAGCTGAAGAATTCTTAGAGGTTCAAATGTTTAGTCTGTGGTTAAATGACCAACACCTCATAGAGCTGGCATTAGATCCTGGGTCCACTGACTCATGGTCCAGGATGATTTTAATTCCTCTTATATTGCAAGTTTCACTCTGAGTATAATTAGTTTCTACAGATGAAATTTAGTAAACTTATAAAGAATGGCAATATACTTCTCTTATATGCCTGTTAGCATCCTCTATTTTTATCGTAATATTTATTTTTTTATTTTTGTCTGATTCTCTGTCTTCCTCCCCCAGTAGAACTATGATTTCCTTAAAGAAAAAGGTGTGTGATGAAATATTTACCTCTACATCCCCATCATCAAGCATAACACAGAAGGGACCAAGTCAGATGTTGATTTTTTTCTTAGTCAGCCATAAGAGCTGAATAGACTTTACAGAACTCCAACGTAAAGTTAGAACTAACTGGTATAATGAATTTTAAACAGATGGTCAGCATTAATGCCCAAGTCCTTTCTTATTTTGATTCCTTTGGTTATTATATAGTGAGCTTTGACATGGGTTTGGTTTGATAGCCAAAATAATCAACATTCAGTATATATTTTTTTCTTTTATTATTATTTTTTTTATGAGAGCCCAGAAATCTATGAACACAATTAGCTAGTTTACATGGGAAGTTTTATTTGGATTGAATAAGACATTTTGTTAAAGGATTTTAAAAGTATTGATTTTTATAAGTCCTAAATTCTTTTTTTAGGAAGACACATATTTTATTTGTTAAAATACAATTTATGTTTTTTGGCATGAACAACATTTAACACAGGTTTTTCCTATGTGGTCTGGTATGTAGAAACTGGGTATATCATTGAAATGATTTTTCTACTGTCTTTCAAGTGACTAAAATTTTTTTACTTTGATATGACTGGTTATAAAAACACTAATACATTTAATTTTAAAAAGTCTAAATAATAACAATGTAGGCTAATGATTTTCAGCCTTGGTTACATACTAAGATTTACCTGGAGAACTCTTAAAACTACAAGTATACATCAAAAAGTTCATAGAAAGATTCATATTATCTTTAAATTCTATTTGTACACAACTGTTTGAAGTATCCTCTTATAATCCTCAGATGACTCCTCCAAAACATTTAAAGCACAGTGTCTGGAGGTAAATCAGAAAATAAATTTCTTGTATTAACAATAGATATGAACAAATCCCACTATCATTTTAGCATTTTGACTGTTCAGTTTATGTTTTATAAATTTCGAAGTGCTACTGGTAATACCAGATACCAAGTGTTTAATAAATTTTTGTTTTTTGAAGTAATTCTTTTTAAATCATGGTTTAGGATCATACTATTGTTACATCTTCAAAAATCTTCTACATGATTTAGATTCCTGCTAGCACTTGGTACTTCTAGGAGCTCCTAACCTGAAAATGTGTTACAATGGAGCAATGGAAGGTTTTTTTGATAATGTGAAAAGAGAGTCAGTATCCCATTTTATTATTGAATAATGTTAGCTTTATTATTATAATAGAATACAGTGTGACATAAAATTAAGAGCTTTTGCTAAACTCTGTAAAGCAATACATGCATCTGCCATAAACAACCTTGATTCGTGTTAGGTTTTATTGCCACTTCACTGCACTACGGTGCATTAAACATTCAGTGTCATCTTTTAAGAAAATTTCCTGGGAGTAAACAGGAACTGTCCTCTGTGTGTGTCTTTATTTTTAAGGAAGACTTAACTAGTATCACATGGTTTAACAAAGCACTGTAGAAAAGCTACATAGAATAGTTTGTCTTGATAAACTGTGCAATCAATTTATACAATAGAATACTATCCACATGTACTAACAAACTAAGAAATGATAGAAATGCAGTCATTGCCTAGCAGAAAGCAGACTAATAAGAAATATTCACATCTAATGAGCAAAATACAGACCAAAAGTTAGCTATGAGGAGTCTGGAAGATAAAATACTCTCAAAAAACACATTAGGTTAACGCCGAAAAATAACAAGATAAACAGCAACATAGAAGTTAGAGCCATAATTTATTTTATTTTCTATACATAATATCTACACATGATACCAGAGGATGAAATGTCCTTGTTTCAGCCTTTATTGGCCTAGCTTGTGAAACTTAGGCAGAATCGAATCAAACAATGAAGCACATTTAAAAAGAAAACCAGAGTTTGTTTAGGAAAACAGTGTATTTTCCTATATCATTGGATAGCAGCTTTTTGAGAAAAACATTGCTTAAAACTTGGGTATGGATCCCAATTGTCTAATTTGGCAATTAAGCTAACAAGTTTATGTTGTGTTCTAAATGTATTTAGAGCATGACCTGACCTGTGGATTCTGAATGCTAAATTTAAATATCTGCAAAATTCTACCAGACAAAAGGAGACTTCAAAAATACCTTCTGCATAAATATTTCTCTCTAAAACACCTGGGCAGTAATGAAACAGACTAGAATTTTTATAGGAAATGTTAATGGACCTCTTTTATTTTAAGCCCTTACATAGTATACCTATAAATATATTGCTACAGTATAAATAAAATGTAATATTACTCAGTAAAAGCTATTTCTTATACATTCTTTCATGTATTTTATAATTAATGCTACATATGGTACAACACTTATTGAAATAGTTGTTATCAGCAAGAATAGTAATAACATACTGTTGATTTTCTAGTTCCAACTAATGCCTCCCATTTTCTTTTCTATGTTATAATAGCCTAAAATAGGGCAATGTAGTGTGGCATGGCTTGAGCAGATAGCAGTTGATCTATTACTGAACACCGGACAACAGTTTCACAGCATAAACTTTCTCAGCATAAGTGGACCTCACACCTGCATGTTTCAAGTTCTGTATGATTCCTCCAGGCTGTTTTGTTTTTAAATTCAGGCTCTAAATGTATTTCCATAGTATTTAACAACATTCTAACAGCTAAAAATGGTGATTACTACACAATATTTTAAGAACGCAAATTTTAAAAAAGTAAAAAATGTACAATCCCATGCCGTATATTTACATATATAATTTTATATTCTATTTCTCATTACTCATCATAAATTTCAATCTAAAGCTTTTAATGTAGTTATATAAAAGAATACATTCAACAATTCTTGAGCTTGCAAAATATTTTTGCCCCTCTAAAAACATCTTCTTAATGAGAATCAAGTGATTATTGGGCCCATGTGCTAATCTGGAAATAGATACAGTGGAAAATGAATATTTTAGAATTATTTTATTCTATTTACTTATTTATTTTTAGTTTTTATTGAGTGTACATTTCTGTTAAAATGATTCTTCCCTAAGTCTAGTGGGAAAAGTTCAGATTATATAAAGTAGGCTATTTAAAGCATTTCTCTCCATTAAATTAAATGAACTCTACAGTGAGCAACTGCACCTTTGCCTATGAAATCTCCATGAATTTTAAAATAGCATTTAACAACAAAATAGCACATTGGAATTTTTAAAAGGAGAAAGAATGGGGATTTTTAGCTTTGGAAACAAAATGTTAAAGCTATACATCAGTTTAAAAAAATGTAAGAACAGCATAATATGTGCAATAAAGACATCGATTTTTTAAAACTTTTTTCATTAAATATTTATAATTTATTCTTTTAAACGCCTTCACATAAAAATATTTTTGTCATATACAGTATATTTTTTAGAATATTTGGAAATATATATCTACAAATGACCTAGGAGTTATAGCTAATTTTCTTTTTCTTCTACTTTTCCTCATATCTTTGGACCTTCTTCCCCTTCCCTTCCTCTCTTATTCTGTCTCCTTCTGACACGATTTTTCTGTCTCATTACCTCTCTCAGAATCCTGTCTTCAAGCCGTATACTCTGCTCTGCTCTGGACTGCCATACAGGGGTCTCTTGTTCTTATATGAATTATGGAAATAAGGAAATCTTCAAATTCTTTAAGACAGAGGCAATAAAGCAGATAGGAGTTACTGCGTTGAGAACAGAAAGCAATTCCCAGTGCAGAGGACTGAACAACAGAATGAGACTGAAAGGACCTATTGATGTGGTGTGGGGGCTTTTAGCTGAGGCTCTCTGTTTAAATATGTAGCCCAGTAGACTAAGTTAAAGATTCCAAATAGCAGGGGGAAGGCTATTCTTGACAGTCGGTCAATTTTGCTGACACTGTTGAAGGTTTTCTTGGGTTCTGGTGGTTTTGTTTCAGGCTTGACTTCTTTTGGTTCTATGGTTGCACTTTTAGCAATGGTGGCTAAACCGGGGTCACCCCTGGCCAAGTTAGGGGTGTAGCTGGTTGCTGTTGGAGCATAAGTGTTGTTTTTCTTAATGAGAGGATCTTTCACTTTCTTTGGCTGTAGAAGGAAAGAGTAAAGCATCTTGTTTAGTAAACTGTGAGAAACAAAATTAGAAGTTGCTGAGCAGAGTGACCCTTACTTGGAACCCAAATCTGTGTTTTATTTAAAAATTTAAGAAAAGTAAATTTATGACTGTCTAATTAAGATAAATTTAAAATGCAGAGACTATTTTACAGCCTTTGCCATTGAGAGGTGGAGTCTATTTCCCCACTCATTGAATCTAGAATGGACTTGTGATTTTGACAGAGTGATACCGTGCAAGCTTAGGATCCTAACCTCAAGAAGCTTGTCAGTCTCAGCCTGCACCTTCTGGAAATATGTCACTGCCATGTGAAGAAGTCCAGACTTGACTAACAAATGCCCAGGGGCCATGTGCAGTGCGAGGCCTGGCTGACAGTGAGCAACAAGCCGTAGCCGTGGGATATAGGCCATCATGGATCTTCTAGCCACGGTGGAGCCTCCAGCTCCCTGCAGTCATTGCCCAGGTCAGATTAACAGAAGAACCACCAGGTTTTTCCAGCCCCAAATTCAGAATCATGAGCAAGTAATTGACTGTTGTTTCGGGCCACTACGTTTTGGGGTGGTTCGTTTTGCAGCAATAAATTGCTAAGCCAATTCTTATTTTCGCTGCTGCTTCTTTTAGTTCAAATGGACAAATAATAAAGCAGCGTTATTGAGGGTATCCTGAATTCGACTCTTGTTCATTTTCACTAAAAACAATGTTATCTGTGTAATGATTGACAACTGCAGCATTACTTAGGATTTGTCTCACACAGACATTTCTAAAAAACTGAAGTGGATCAGTTTAAAGCTATGTGGTCTGATACAGTTGCCATTAGTCATGTGGGAATATTGAGCACTTGAAACGTGGCTAGTCTTCTTTGACATGTGCTGGAAGGATAAAGTACACACTGGATTCTGAAGACTTAGTATGGAAAAAAAATAGAATGTAAGATACCTGCTCAATAATGTTTTGTATGGGGTTACATGATCTAAAACTAATATTTTTATGTGTATTGGGCTCAATTATATTATCAAGCTTAGTTCTTCTTGTTTATTTATACTTTGTAAATAAGACTACCAGAAAATTTAAAATTACAAACATACCTTATTTTTGTGGCTCACAATATATTTCTGATGGACACTGCAAGTCTAGAAGAGTAGTTCCCATTCTTTTGGGCATATTGAATCACCAGTTAACATTTTTGAAAATGCAAATAAATGTCCTGGGCACAATCTCATATTCTGAGCCAGAAATGTTAGGAGGTGGAGCCTGGTTATTGAGTGATTTTGCTAAAAAAGACTATGCAGATAACATTGATGGTCATCTAAACTTGAACCACCAGACCTGATACTCCCTGGATAATTTGTATTTTCATTATCTAATCAGAATAAAATATTTCGTTGAGAAGACTGGATGTTTTTCACAAGGCACAATCATCAGGGATTTTAACAGGCTAATTTGTTTACCATCCAACTCTATGGTCTATCTGCTGCTTTTTCTCCTCTCCAAATCCTTAAGCATATGTTAGGACTAAAAAGAGAAAATGCCCAGCTTTTTCTTTTTTCCTGGTATTACTTCATTATAAAATAAGGTCACTTTTGAGTTGTATATCACTAATTCTGAAGAACCTTAGTAGAGTAATTCAGTGATTGTAACATGTGTTTTTTTTAAAAAAATTCACATATATTAATCTGGGCTATGTCTTAAAATTGGTAGTATCTTATGTCACCCATCTCCATGTCTGGCTCTGTCTGCCTTGGGCTGCCATCTGGTCTAGGACATATAGAGGCCAGTAGCAGCTAAGGCAAGTATTTGGCAATGATGCTGTCTTTACTCTCTCACCAGCTGGTAAATACAATCCCTTTTCCCTGTCTCTTCTCTCCACTGAACCTGAATCAAGTTTCTTGGGTTGCAAATGCAGAGATTTTTATACTGGACAAGCATGTTTCAATGCAAGATGAATTTTGAGGGCCTGGTTCTAGCACATGTTGGCTGTGATAGTGCATCCTCCACAGAACCTTCTTTGCTTCTATTTGAGTAAGAAATCATTGGGGGATTTAATTCATTCATCTGTGGGTGAAGGGTAAATCTAAAAGAATTTTTACTTGTCAGCATATTTTTTTTCTTATAAATTAATGCTACATCCTTTAATCAGTAATACCTTATATTTCATTAAATATGGTAGATGTTACCACCAAAAAGGATTCTTTTATCTAGTTTGTTTGTGTAACTGTGGGATAAACACAATAAAATTAATTTCTTTACTATAGACCTTCTCAGACCCTTCAATATACTGTGATACAGAATGCGGCATTATTCAAGTGGATTTGACCACAGAACTAAATTTTCAGGGACTATCTCAGGGTCCTAGTATTCTGTGGAACAGAATTTGGGAAACCTGCTGTGGAATAATTCCTCCTAGACTATTTCTAGAATTTCAAAATCTCTGTCTCTCTGACTTTGCACTTCTTTCCACCATCCCAAGGCTCACTTGCATTTAGCATGCTTTTCCTTCAAATCCCAGAAACAGAAATACCCTCCCTTGCTGTGACTTAAAATCCTTACTCTACAATAGGTTCTAACTGAGGGGAGCAGCAGTATTCTTTAGCAGCAGTTGAGAATTTTCTACCATGAGGAATGTATTGGTAATTTCCATGTGTTATGATCCTTAAAGTAAACCTCTATTTTGCAATGAGAAAATGTGCCTGCCCTTGACTTCACTGAAAATTGGGGATAGTTCAGTCTGCAAAGTCAATTCTATTGAGGCATTATAATTATAAATTTATGACCAAAATTATTAGGTTCAGAAAAATAGCAAGAGACTATGATTTTCAAGTTACAAAAATTATAATGCACTTCATAAATGATGGATTTTGTTAAGTTTTGCTCCTAATGTCATGTTTGTTCTGAAATTAATAGAGACCATACATAGGAAAGCATATTGGAGTAGAAATGTTTACCTTCATGTTTGTCCTTTATCTCTCCTCTACTCTGCATGTCTATTCACCCAAATAACTTCCCCTCTTAATAATAACAAAATTTGCATAGCACTTCATCACTTATGACATAAGAAAAAAACAAACCCTCATTATTCCCCTCTTTTCAGGCTTTATCCAATCCCATGGGCCCAAACATTCCATCACACAGGGTTAAAGAGACATGATAGTGATATATCACAGGAACTATTAAAGCATTTACCTTTTCTGGAACTACGCTTTTGCCATCCCATGCATAACCTCTCTTGGTGAAATAGTTTACTGTGGCAAACTCAATCAGAGCTGAGAACACAAAGGCATAGCACACTGCAATAAACCAATCCATGGCTGTTGCATAGGCCACCTTCGGGAGGGAATTTCTGGCACTGATACTCAACGTTGTCATGGTGAGCACTGTTGTTACTCCTGTAAGGAATGAAATTAAGTGAATGTGTAGATTCATGCTACAGAATTTCATCACTGGATGCCAGCCTACTTGAGCAAAGGGACACCAACAGCACCATGTACAAAGTGTGGTTTCTAATTCATCCCATTTTGATTTGGGATGAATGAGTACTACTTTAACCCCAGTGTAGGTTATGGTTCATGGTATGGCAATATTGAGGGGGCATCTTGGAGGGATAAACAGCTCTGCTATTGAGGACCTATTAATAAGATAGTGAACTCCTTTTAATGTGCACCTTAAAATGGAGTCTTAGGTGGGATAGGAAAAAACATTTCTCCCTTCACCCATTTCCTGGAATAAAAATCATAGATCTTCACTGCCTCTGATCCTCAGGAAATCTCTAGACCCTCAGCTCTGTTTAATATTCTACTTGTGTATCCCATGAAACCAATGACTTTTTGATAATTGATAGACAATTTAACTATTTGAGGATGATAATTTGCCATATCATTAAGTCTTTTACTTTTATTCTATTTTTTTCTGATTCTAAATTTCTTTTGAAGAAATTCCGGAAACCAACGTGTGTGGGGGTGGAAGGTGTTAATTTTATGTAACTTGCTTGAGGTCACACAGCTAAGAAGGAGCAAAACCAAAATTTGAATACAAGTTTGTCTGATTCAAATGTCCACAATCTTTCCCTGTTTACTAGTGCTGCCTCATTTTCCCTATAGTGCAATTCCATCCCTAACGATTCAAATAACCTCTCTTCAAAGCAGTTCTGAAGTTGTTCGGGTTTTTTTAGTTTATTCAAATAATTATATAATTTAGTACATGAAAGATGAAAGCCTTTAATGTTCATTTAACAAATTAATATTCTCAACCTACTCCATGCAATGCACTTTACTAGGTACTGAGTCATAGTACTGTAAGATTTCTTTTAAGTCATTTGAAAATGTTTAAAAAGCAATTCACTTTAGCCCAGTTGGGGTAGGTCAGGCCACATTGCGTGGCAATGATCCTGATCTCTTCCAGTAACTGTTCCCAGTCTTACCACTTATTAGCTCTATGGCCCCGGGTAAATGAATTAACTTGTAGGGACCTCAGTCTCCATATCTGTAAAAGGGATAATTTGTCCATCATTCTCTCTCTTGTTTATACCATCTTTGAGATTCTAGGAGGGGAAAATTTCTGCCTATTTACAAGTTCACTGTGAGGATTAAATGTAATAATACATGAAAGCATTTTAAAAATTATAGATGAAGTATTGCCATGGAAGATAGTGTCATCCCACGTGTCTAAACTCATCTCTATGATTCCTCCTCCCTTTTTGATTAATTTTAGTAAATCAGCAGGGTCACACAGATGGTAGGCAGCTAATTTTTGTAAGCTGCTTTAAACCAACCAGTATGCCTAAGTTCTCCATGAAATTCAAGGTAAATGGTCTTTGTAACTACATTAGGAAGTGATATAATTAAGAAGAAACACTGTGAAATTTTTATTAAGTTGAGTTTAAGACACATTATCAAAGTTGTGGGAAATAGACTTACTTTGAGATTTAAAGGTCTTACAGAAAGTTCTGTGGCATTTTTCATATTACATAACCAGCAAATGGCTTATGCAGCATTGGTTGGAAAACTGACCCCAAATTTACATATCAATATTAACTTTAGTAAATAACAAGGTAATTAAAAGTTAGTATTTGAGGAACAGAGCAGTCTACTTTCAAATCCCAGTTCTGAGCTTAATGACCTTGGGAAAATTTCCTCACAAACCTGAGCTTCTGGGGTTTTTTTTGTTGTTGTTGTTATTATTTTTCCTTGCAAATTGATTTGAATAAGTCTACCTGAGAAAGCTATTGTGATTATTAAATATAATAACGTAACGAAGTGTTTAGCACTTAGCCTGATACTTATTAAGAAAAAAATTAATGACTATCATTATTGACAACTTCAGTCCTTTTTGATAAATCCCTGCTACAGAGAATTCCACTTTTTCAAATTTTGGTTTATATAGGCAGTTGTGAGAAGTAATTTGAGAATGGGTATTCTAAAACCACATGTATCCATAAATTAAGAGCAATTATGAGTAGTATAAACAGAGGTGTGTGTGTGTGGTTGTTTTACAACTTCTGCTATAGAGAAAGGGAAAGGAACAAAAGTGTGTTGAACAGTGATTAAGTTCTAAGTATTGAGGCTGACGATTTATATATTTTACTTTATTTTTCTCATTTAATTATTTTAAGCAACACTACTTCACTTTCCTTGTGCTCTCATTTCACAGGCAACTGAACCTCAGATAAATGAAGTAAATTGGCCAATGTCACAGCTGGTAGGTGATGAGATTGCACCTAAAACTTGGACCTATTAGGCAGCAAAGTTACACGATCACATTGCCTCCAAAGGAGAGACAGCATGGAAGGCCAAAAACATGGTCGTCTTTTAAGGTATAACATAGTCTTCAATTTTGTTGCATTCTGGATGCTTTTTAATAAACTATTATAAAGTACAACTTTTGTTTACATTCTTCTTTTGGTATTTCTTTAAAAACCCCTGATCCTCCAGCATCTCACAGATCTCAGAGAAATGTGCTGAGTTCCAACTAAAATGAATAGAAACATATGAACTACATAAATGTTAAAAGGCTAAAGGTCTAAGAAAATTGTAAATTGTGATTTCATTAAACTTAAAATGTTAGAAACATATCACTTGATGTACGGAAATACTTGCCACAACTGAGTTTACAGATATACAGCTATGTTCACCCAAAAGGACATGAGTGGATTGAGATATAAGATTGTTAAAAATGTTAGGAGCAATGTTTTGACTTATAAAACATCCTGAAATGCTTTAGAGACTTTCCAAATAAAAAGGATAGGGTGAGAGGGGAGAAAAGTCATCAATTAAAAAAAAATATTTTGGGGAGGTGGCCAGTTAGCTCTGTTGCTTAGAGTGCTACCTTGTAACACCAAGGTCAAGAGTTCAGATCCCTGTACCAGCCAGTCACCAAAAAAAAAAAAAAAAATTAAAAAAATTAAATAAATATTTTTTCATGACAGTGCTTGGCTCATTCTACAAAATTAAATCAAAACAAATAAAATAATTATGTTATCTGTTCTCATTTAAAAAAAAATTTCCTAGTGAGTAAAGGGCTCTCTATATACATATAGAAGTGAACATATTAACAAGAGTTCAGTCTTTAGGGTTTCAACACTAGTTAATATCGACAAATGGTAATAAGGAAGAACAGATCGAAATGAACTGTTCTTTTGGTCTGTAGCTGGAATTATTCTGGATCTTAATTTTGCTGTGTTCTTAGGCTATTGTCAGAGCAAAGATTTGGTGGTTTCCAACCTGGAAGAACCTTGCCAAGTTCAGAAGAAGAGACACATTTCTGGGCACTTGTAGCAGAGTCTTACTCTTTTTCTGAGAACTGATTTTCTTCATAACTTGCATAGTATTAAAGGATAATACAACACAAAATCCACAGTTTAGATTTTACACTACTTCAGGCTATTTATTATCCTGTAGCACCAGGTCTTAAACACAGCAGATGCCTAGTTGGTATTTGTGGAATGAACCTTGATAATTGCACCTTTCACCAATAAATATGTGGACATTATTTCCAGTTGAATGACAATGAGCATGACCACCACATTCCATGTCTTATCCATGCAGCAGGATAGCACAGAGATGATGATGTGGCATCTTAATTAAGAGGTCAGACTCCAGAGCTAAGTTCTTGGGTCTCATTCCTGATTTCTTCACCTGATTGCTTCTGACCTTGGGTAGATTATTGAATCTCTTGTTCCTCAGCTTTCACTTTTATAAAATAGGGACAATAAGACTATATAGTATTTTGAGGGTTAAATAAGGTAATATAGTTTAATTTCATAGAACAATGCCTGGAATAAAAGGACTTAGTAAATATTATCTATGATTTTTATGGTCATTCAAATTTTAAGCTCCAGGATAAAACCTTCAAAAGGTGATTGGTTTCTTTAGTTCACTATTACGATCTGTGCCTAGGTCACGGTAGTAACTCACAGTAGGTTTCAAATAAAAACTCATAGAATAAATGAATCAATTTATTGATAAAATAAATTTACTGTAGTGAAATCTTGCATTTTCACCAGTGTGGAAAGTGTAATTGAGACAGTGTATTGGGATACAAGCAGGAAATATCTCTGTATATAAAAAACAAGCTCCAAAATAATACGCTGAGAGGTAAGTTTCTCCATTAGTAAACTCCATGTTGTTTACCCTTTAAATAGTTCTCTATTAGATTGCCTTACGTTGAAGTGTTTAGTTCATTTAAAATATTTTAGTAGAAAAAAGTATATTAGTAACTCTTCAGGAGTGTACACGTTAAAGTGAGGCATCCTTTTGCTGATATGATGGTTATTAATGAACTCTACCTACTTTTATGTATTTAAGGAAATGGTTCTGCTGATATTTTCTAAAATTCTCAAAAATGGACTGATACATGTTATGTATTTTAAATACATGATTTAAATATTAAGGTTTCTATGTATGTGTTTGTAATCTGGTATCATGCATTTTATGCCTAGTTCATTCCATTTCTATCCCAGAATATCAAATCAAACATTCATTTAACCTATCTATTCATACACACTAAAACAGATGCTACTTAAAGTATTTTTTGTAAAAACTATATCATAATGAGAATGGCAATCCCTTAAGTCTTTCTATTATACAATCGTCAGATTTTAATGTATAATCATTTTTTCATTCTCTTTGCAATGTCACAGACACACTATAACTCACCATCCAGACCCCTGAATGCATGTCTTGATTGGCACTTACCAAAGACAGTTCTTGCTGGTACTGACTCTCTGTTGAGCCAGAAGGAGACTTGCGAGAGAATAACCGTCATTATGCATGGCAGGTATGTTTGAATAACAAAATAGCCAATCTTTCTCTTCAAGTGGAAATGAGTGGTCATAACAACATATTCTCCTAGAAGGTAAAATAGTTAGGCTGAGCAATTTGACCTTGAAAAGAAGTTATAGCTGAGGTTTTATATCTGTAGCAAAGGCCTAGAGGTTAGACACATCCTTTCTCCACATGACATCCAGTTCCTGGAGGACTTTTATCCAGGAGAGAAAAGAAACATTTTTAACATACAAAAAAATGGCTCTGAGGATGCAATCAGGGTGCCAGAGTCCCCATGTATGTTCTTCCATCCTGAAACTGGTACAACATATATTTAAGTGACATACTGAGCATGTGTTTACATATTGACCTTAATGACCTTGAAGGCAATGTGCTATGCTCTGTGACATACATCAATTGAACAGAAACAGACTAGATCCCCAGTGTGTCACTGCAGGACAGATTCAGGATGTCTACTGAAAGAGCTCTATAACCTAGGATAAGTCATTTAGTTTGGCCTGACGGGCGAAATGAGGAGAGTGGGCTAGAATCCATTGTTTCTCAACATTTATTTCCCAGAATTACCTGGGAAGCTTTTGAAAAATTCAATTCTTCAAATCCCATCTAGATTCACAAACCATTTTTTGAATTTCCAGGTAAATCTGCATTTTTAACCAGCTTTTGAGCTTGCTCCAGTTCCTGGCCTGATCTGAGAAACAGTGGAGTAGTTCTGCACTCTGTATGGTTTTTATATACTCCAAATTCTTACTTCATTTAGAAGCCCAAAGCAGTAGACACACGACCAAAATTGCAGGAGGGTTTTACTTTTACTCCTGTTATATTTTCTCAATTACAAATCTTACAAGTATTTAACCTTATTCAATAAGAATACATGCTTAGTTACCTGCAGGTGAGTAGGAGAAATAAATATGATCTGGCTAAGAAAGCATCAGATTGTTTAGAATCCACATTTCTCCACCTTTTTCCTTCCTTTCTCCTGCAAACTTTACCCTACCTGACCTAGCATCTTTACCACAGCACATGAGCATCTGACTTCAGCCCCTATAGCTCAAGACTTCTTAATCTTCATAACTAAAGCCCTTTTCTTAGTCTTCAAGCTGGTTGTTCACCTTCTTTATAACATTAAATAATGATTGTCCCTACCTTCTTGATAGCACACTTTTGATTCCCATTTTCCTTTATCTCTCTTCTTTAGTTTCTTTTCCTAATTCATTTACTATTTCAATTAGAAATTGTTTATTGAGTTATTTATGCTGGTCAGATACTCCTTTTCCTTTTCCTGTTAAGTAAATGTAGGGGTTTTAAATGGAAATGAGGCATAGTTCTGTCCTCAGCTCTCTTCCTTATTTTTGCTTGACTCTAAAAAGTTCATCTTACCTAGGCTCCTGATGTTATATCTATGAAGATATGCATATTTCTGTCAAATCTACATTTGTTAAGTGACCTTCCTTGCAAACTAAGGACCTCTATTCTCAAGTCCAGTCTAGACAATATCTATCTCACAGATATTAATTTTCAATGACACCACCAAGAAAATATGTTCAAAACTCAAATTAGCTAACTATTCCCTCAGAAGAATGACCAGTACATGGCACTATCATCTGACTGTTTACTCAGGCTAAAAATATGGAATTAATCCTTGGATGTTAGGTGGTGCTTTGGAAAGAGAGAAGAGAGTAAGTTGATCACAACTTCAATTTCACCTCTGCAGTATCTTTCATTCTATCTCTTTTTATCTCAGTGACTGCCCTTATCTCCTTTGTAGATTTATTACAATAATCTATTAACTGTCTTGTGTGCCATCAGTCATATCCTAATTCCAATTTTCCATTAATTTTGGTGTAGAGTGATCTTTCACATGAGTGATCATGCCACTCATTTTCTTACTTAAAATACCTTAATGGAGTCCCATTATCTACATCAGAGTTTCTCTACATCAGCACTTTTGGCATTTTGGACCAGATAACTGTTTGTTATAGGGACTTTCCTGTGCATTGTGAGATATTTAGCCACATCCTTGGCCTCCACCCACTAGATGCGAGTAGCAAACACTGCCTCCTCCCACCCTGTGACAATAAAAACTGTCGACAGTTCTACATGCTAACAACCAAACTCCCTAACCTTTATTCAAGACTCTCCACATCATGGCTCTAATATGGATTGCAATCTCATGTCTCTCCGCACATTTTCACATTTCCATAGGTTGGTCTGCAAAACTCTACTTGACATCTTCTGTGACTGAATATTTTGTTCATCTATAGATTGAGCCTAGCTCCAATACCAGGTTCTCATTAGAATAGAAAGAAATGCCCTATAGAGGAAAGCACATTAGTTTTGGAAGCAAATGAATTTGAATTCAAAATCCAGATCTGCTATTTTCTTGCTGTGTAGCCCTAGGCAACTCACATTTTCTTTTTTTTTTTTTTTTTTTTTTCTTTTTCCGTGTCCGGCAACGGATCGCAACCCTCCGTGTCGCGCCTGTACCGGACCAGG